GCGCCATTGCACTCCAGCCTGGTTAACAAGAGCGAGACTCCGTCTCAAAAAAAAAAAAAAAAAAAAAAAAAAAAAAAAGGAAAGTCACCTCTTGCAATTTTATAGAGAAGGTTTCATAGGGAAGAACATACTCATATGAATAGGTCTTGGGGTATCAGTTAAATGGGGTGCATTGGCCTTGGTTCTAGGTGGGCACATATAGTGTCTGTGTAGTTTCTTCAGCTGTAATTCTAGTGGCATTTGCAAGTTTCTCAGTAGCCTAAGCTAAGAGAGTTGGTGGTGATGGTGGCTTTGCCAGGTTTGGGACTGTGGGGCTGTTTCTCAGGCCTGGTATGCAGTTGCATGACTGCTTGGCTGGTCTTGGGGTATGTCTACCAGAGGCTGCTTACAAGGCTGCTTCTCACCAGGTGCAGTGGCACAAACCTGTAATCCCAACACTTTGGGAGGCTGAAGTAGGTGGATCACAAGGTCAGGAGATCTAGACCATCCTGGCCAACATGGTGAAACCCCGTCTCTACTAAAAATACAAAAAATTAGCCAGGCATGCTGGTGCATGCCTGTAATTCCAGGTACTCAGGAGCCTAAGGCAGGAGAATCATTTGAACCAGGCAGTCAGAGGTTGCAGTGAGCCAAGATCGTGCCACTGCACTCCAGCCTGGTGACAGAAGGGAGACTCAGTCTCTAAAAAAAAAAAAAAGGCTGTTTCTCAGGCCCTTGCTAGGAGTATAGGCCCACTGGGCAGATCAGGGGCTTCTCTGTAGGGGTGTGGCATCTCAAGGCTGTTTCTCAGGCCCTAGGCACAGGCAGCTGAGTGTGTCAGCTGCTTGAGATTCTCTCCCACTCCAGAAAGGGCATGTGGCAGTTTGGCCAGCTCAAGGGCATGTTTACCCTGAGCACATCTGCTTAGGCTCCAAGCAACTGGGGTCATGACGTTGAAGCCACTCCTACCAAGCCCCTGTGGGCTTGGTCAAATGAATATGGAGCTCTAGTGCTGGAGACGTGCAGTGGCTACTGGCCCCCACCAGACCAGAGTGCATTCCAAAAGTGGTTCTCATCTCAAGATGGTTCTGTGCTGCAGAAGCTAATGGCAGTTAGAGTACACACCTTGTGCTCCTAATCCAGGGCAATGCAGGTGCAGTAATTCCTGGCAGCTCTCCAAACTGGGAGACTTGGGTATTAAACATGGGTATTCTCCTGTAGTAAGGACTGTAGGTGCCTGCAGTAGCAGTGGGGGCTGGTGGGGATTTTCAGTTTACTGTTTCTCCACAACAGGAATCCCCTCCTGACTGCAGGCAGATCTGATTCTGGTGGAGGTGACAGGGCTGCAGAGGCTAGATGCCTCTAGCTGCCCTCCTGGGCCTCCAGTTGCCACAGGTACATCTCCACTCCTCTGATGCACTCCAGTGCTTTCCTGTTGACACTCCAGTCAAATCTTAGCTTTTTTCTGTGGTGGCTTCCACCTGCAATCCCAGCTACTTGGCAGGCTGAGGCAGGGGGATCGTTTGAGTTCACAAGTTTGAGGCCAGCCTGGGCAACATAGCTAAAGCTATCTCTAAAAATAAAATTCTAAAAATCTTAGCTGTTTATTTGTTGCCTTCATCCTTTCTTGTTGAGGGATGAATGCCAATCACCTCTAGTCGGCCATCTTGCTGATATCACTCTCAAATATGTGTTCTTTTGCTTTTGTCTTGCTATGTTGCCCAAGATGGTCTTGAACTCCTGGCCTCAAGTGATCCTCCTGCCTCAGGCTCCCAAAGTACTAAGAATACAGGCATAACCCACAATGCCCAGATATTCTTTATTTTATTAATATATGACTGCCAAGATGCTTAAGGAGAAACTTTTCCATTGACTTAAATATAGAAATGAAGCTAAATGCCTATAGAAAGTCTCTTATTGCAGTGAAATGAAAAATTAACTCTTCCTCAAATACCAATATTGTAACCTGGTGGGCACTAAAGTAACATTGCTATCTCATGCCCCGTTGATCCCTGTTTTTGTTTACTTGTAACTTTACTGACATCAAGGTCACCTTCAACTGAGACTCTCCCCATAGACAAAAACCTTCTGCTTACTTCTAATATCAAAACTTTATTTTCTACTTCTTTTTTTTTTGAGACAGAGTCTCGCTCTATCACCCAGAATGGAGTGCAATGGCGCAATCTCGGTTCATTGCAACCTCCACCTCCCTCGTTCAAGCGATTCTCATGCCTCAACCTCCTGAGTAGCTGGGATTACAGGACACCACCATGCTTGGCTAATCTTTCTTTTCTTTTTTTTCTTTCCCCTCCCCATCCCTATCTTTTTCGAGTTTGATTCTCACTCTGTCGCCCAGGCTGGAGTTCAGTGGTGCGACCTCGGCTCACTACATCCTCTGACTCCTGGTTTCAAGCAGTTCTCCTGCCTAAGCCTCCCAAGTACCTGGGACTACAGGCACCTGCCACCATGCCTGGCTAAATTTTTTGTATCTTCAGTAGAGATGGAGTTTCACTATGTTGGCCAGGCTGGACTTGAACTCCAGACCTAGTGATCTGCCTGCCTCGGCCTCCCAACGTGCTGGGATTACAGGCTTGAGCCACCATGCCCAGCCCCTTCAACATAGTTTTTAAAACTTAAAAGTGGCTTTAAGCTTGGAATTCTATGTACTGAATTTGCCTAGAATATGAGGTACCTATAAAAGGTGGTTCTGATTTTGTTTAAGAACACCATGGGCCAGGTGCTGTGGCTCACGCCTGTAATCCCTGCACTTTAGGAGACTGAGGTCAGTGGATCACCTGAGGTCAGGAGTTCAAGACCAGCCATGAACAACATAGTGAAACCTCATCTTTATTAAAAATACATATTTATCCGGGCATGGTGGTCCCCAACTATAATCCCAGCTACTTCAGAGGCTGAGGCAGGAGAACCACTTGAACCCAGGATTGTAGTGAGCCAAGATCACACCATTGCACTCCATTCTGGGCAACAAGAGCAAAACTTCATCTCAAAAAATTAAAATAATAAATAAATGTTGAAAAAAAAAAAAAAAAAAAAAAAAGAACAACGTGGTCAGAGGATTGGCCCTTGCTTCACTGCAACGTACAGATGGGTCTGGACTTCACACCATAAGACACCATTAATTGAATGAAGGCTTATTGTTATTTTATGAACCATTAAGAAAAATCACTGCTGGCTGGGCAAAGTGGCTCACGCCTGTAATCCCAGTACTTTGGGAGGCCAAATGGGCAAATAGCTTAAGCCCAGGAGTTTGAGACCAGCCTGGCCAACATGGCAAAACGCCATCTCTACTAAAAATGTAAAAATCAGCCAGGAGTGGCTGGGCATGGTGGCTTACGCCTGTAATACCGGCACTTTGGGAGGCTGAGGTGGGCAGATTATGTGAGATCAGGAGTTTGAGACCAGCATGACCAACATGGTGAAACCGTCTCTACCGAAAATACAAAATTAGCCAGGTGTGGTGGTGTATGCCTGTAATCCCAGCTACTCAAGAGGCTGAGGCAGGAGAATCACTTGACCCCGGGAGATGGAGTTGCAATGAGCGAAGATCGCGCCATTGCACTCCAGCCTTGGCAACAGAGCAAAATTCCATCTCAAAAAAAAAAAGGCCACACATGGTGGCTCATGCCTGTAATCCCAGCAATTTAGGAGGCCGAGGCAGGTGAATTACCCAAAGTCAGGAGTTCCAGAGCAGCCTGGCCAACATGGCAAAACCCCATCTCTACTAAAAATACAAAAATTGCCGGGCGCGGTGGCTCAAGCCTGTAATCCCAGCACTTTGGGAGGCCGAGGCGGGTGGATCACGAGGTCAAGAGATCGAGACCATCCTGGTCAACACGGTGAAACCCCATCTCTACTAAAAATACAAAAATTGCCGGGCGCGGTGGCTCAAGCCTGTAATCCCAGCACTTTGGGAGGCCGAGGCGGGTGGATCACGAGGTCAAGAGATCGAGACCATCCTGGTCAACACGGTGAAACCCCATCTCTACTAAAAATACAAAACATTAGCTGGGCATGGTGGCGCATGCCTGTAATCCCAGCTACTCAGGAAGCTGAGGCAGGAGAATTGCCTGAACCCAGGAGGCGGAGGTTGCGGTGAGCCGAGATCGCGCCATTGCACTCCAGCCTGGGTAACAAGAGCGAAACTCCGTCCCCCAAAAAAAAAAAAAAATACAAAAATTAACCAGCTGTGATGGCAGGCACCTATAATCCCAGCTACTCAGGAGGCTGAGGCAGGAGACACATTTGAACCCAGGAGGCAGAGGTTGTAATGAGCTGAGATCGAGCCACTGCACTCCAGCCTAGGGGATAGAATGAGACTCTTGGCTCCAATTAAAAAAAAAAATTTAGCCAGGCGCAGTGGCTCACTCCCATAGTCTCAGCTATTCAGGAGGCTGAGACAGGAGAATGGCTTGAACCCAGGAGGCAGAGGTTGTAGTGAACCAAGATTACACCACTCACTGTACTCCAGCCTGGGTGATAAAGCCAGAACCTGTCTCAAGAAAAATCACTGCCAATTAACTACTGACGTGTTGTCAATTATAAAAACACATCCTAATTTTAGAGATGTTAAAATGTAGAAAAAATGCTATCAGTTAATCAATCAAATACATTCATAGCAATTTACCATATGTAAAGAATGGGGTTGGCTGGATGCAGTGGCTTACACCTGTAATCCCAACACTTTGGGAGGTCAAAGTGGGCAGATCACGAAATCAGGAGTACAGCCTGACCAACATGGTGAAACCCCATCTCTACTAAAAATACAAAAATTAGCCGGATGTGGTGGTAGGTGCCTGTAATTCCAGCTACTCAAGAGGCTGACACAGGAACATTGCTTGAACCCAGGAGTCAGAGGTTGCAGTGAGCCGAGATCACGATACTGCACTCCAGCCTCGGTGATGGTGCGAGACTCCATCTCAAAAAAAAAAAAAAAATTGAGCTTATTTCTCTACCGCTCAAATGAATTACATTCTTTTAGGAAAATACAAGACCTGTTCTCACCACTCACCTAGCATAGAAGTCTCCTACTCCCTGTGACTTCCCCTCACCTGGAGGAGGTGGAAGCGGAGCTGTTTGGCTTCCTCCAGCACCTTCACTGTCCAAGGCAGAGAGACCAGAAAAGACAAGAACATATTTTACAAATAACGGAAGTTGAAATGTGATTTACTTTAGCATCAGCCTTTTAGGAATGTGTCTCTTCTGCAAAAGAGGTTCATTACTATGACAAGTATTCTGTGCTGGGAAAATCTTTTTGATTTGGGTAAGAAAAAGAAAAAAAAAAGACAAGTATTCATTGAGGCCCTTTTCACTGTTTGCTATTGGTCAAGTGGTTTTATTTATTTATTTATTTCATTTTTTTTCTTTGCTACTCTATTCCTAGTGAAAGGGTTTTATTTATAAGCTAGATACAAGTTCCTCTTGCCACAGTTCTCATGTCTTGTATTCTGCTGTCCTATTTAGGTTTTCAGCTGCTACTAAAGATAATGAGCATAAGCGTTCACTGACCAAGACTCCAGCCAGAAGGTCTGCACGTGTGACCATGTCTGGGAATACCCCAAAAGGTGAGGCTGTGCTTGGGACACACAAAATAAAGACCACCAAGAGGAATTCTGCTGGTAAAAAAAAAAAAAAAAAAATGTGGTGTTTTTTTTTTTGTTTTTTGTTTTTTTTGAGATGAAGTCTCACTCTGCCATCAGGGTGGAGTGCAGTGACGCGATCTCTGCTCACTGCATCCTCTGACTCCCTAATTCAAGCTATTCTGCGTCAGCCTCTTGAGTAGCTGGGATTACAGGCACCCGCCACCAAGCACAGCTAATTTTTGTATTTTTTAATAGAGACAGGTTTCACCATGTTGGTCAGGATGGTCTGGATCTCCTGACCTCAAGTAATTCGCCCGCCTCAGCTTCCCAAAGTGCTGGGATTATAGGTGTGAGCCACCACACCCAGCCATCCATTTCATTTCTCTCTCTCTCTCTTTTTTTTTCTTTTTTGAGACGGAGTTTCTCTTTTGTTTTCCAGGCTGGAGTGGTGCAGTGCAGTCTTGGTTCACTACAATCTCCACCTCCCAGGTTTAAGCAATTCTCCTGCCTCCACCTCCAGAGTAGCTGGGATTACAGGCATGCACCACCACACCCGGCTAATTTTAGTATTTTTAGTAGAGACAGGGTTTCACCATTTTGGTCAGGCTGGTCTCAAACTCCTGACCTGAGGTGATCCACCTGCCTCAGCTTCCCAAAGTGCTGGGATTATAGGCATGAGTCACCACACCCAGCCTGTATCTGTTTCCTTAAACCCTTTCCATACCTATAAAATCAAAGGCAAAAATTTTACTGTAGCCTATTCATTGTGTACTAGTGAGGGAAAGGCCAGAGACATAAGCAAAAATCTGATAAACTGCCTGAGAGCTCCATCTAATCCTAAAATGGGGACCCTCCAGGAATAGCACTGTGTCCCTTATAGGACTCAGGGATTAGGAGGATGAGCACAATATTCATTACAGCCTCAGAATGGTTCTGGAGGACTCTGACACTAATAGGATCCCAGACCACAAAGTTCATGTTTCAAGATTCAATCATGTTGACTCATTTTCACTGTATTTTTCAATGGTATGAGTATATGTCAGTTGATTTATCTATTGTACTATTCATGAACATGTGGGTCATTCCAGCTTTCATGATTATATATGATGTTGCTATGAATACTCTTAAACATGTCTCCTGTGCAAGAATTTCCCTATACCTAGGAGCAGGACAGCTGTATTGGAAAATATGCAGACATTTACTGCCCTGGATGAATTGTAACAGTTTGTGCTTTCCACTGGCAGTGTATGGCAGCCTCTTATTCTACTCCCTGCCGACACTTGATATTGATACAGTGGGATCCCTTCAGCACGGGGTTTTGTGCTTTTTTTGTTTCACTAGCTGATCTTGGATCCTGATTGCTGGTTCACAGATGGAGGCAAGTGTTCACATTTGACAATGACCCGGATACAACTGATAAGTGCCTTCCCCCTATGAAGAGAAAGGATTGGCCAGACACAGTGGCTCTTGCCTGTAATCCCAGCACTTTGGGAGGCCAAGGCAGGTAGACCACTTGAGGTCAGGAGTTCAACACTAGCCTGGCAAACATGGTGAAACACCGTCTCTACTAAAAATACAAAAATCAGCCCAGCATGGTGGCATGTACCTGTAGTCCTAGCTACTCAGGAGGCTGAGGTGGGAGGATCACTTGAACCAGGAAGCAGAGGTTGCAATGAGCTGAGATTGTGCCACTGCACTCCAGCCAGCCTGGGCAACAGAGTGAGACCCTGTCTCAAAAAAAAATGTGCTGGATAACTGATGGCCAACTGTAGCAAAAAGGCTAACTAAACTATACCATCGTTAGACAGGGCACAGTGGCTCACAGCTGTATCTCAGCTCTTTGGGAGGCCAAGGCAGGAGGATCACTTGAGGTCTGGAGTTTGAGACCAGCCTGGCCAACAAGGCAAAACCTCGTCTCTACTAAAAATACAAAAATTAGCCAGGCCTGGTGGCACACACCTGTAATCCCAGCTACTCGCTTGAGAATCACTTGAACCGGGGAGGCAGAGGTTGCACTGAGCTAAGGTCATATCATCCAGCCTGGGAGACAGAGCAAGATTCCATCTCAAAAAAGTAAAAACAACATCATGCTGGATATTTTTAACTTCATGGTTCAAAAATTTATATTTTTTTGTTTTTCTTTTTTTTTTTTTTGAGATGGAATCTCCCTCTGTCACCAGGCTGGATGCAGTGATGCAACCTTGGCTCACTGCTACCTCTGCTTCCCAGGTTCAAGTCGTTCTCCTGCCTCAGCCCTGCAAATAGCTGGGACTACAGGTGCACACCACCACATCCAGCTGATTTTTGTATTTTTAGTAGAGATGTGCTTTCCCTGTGTTGGCCAGGATAGTCTCAATCTCCTGACCTTGTGATCCGCCCTCCTCAGCCTCCTGAAATGTTGGGATTACAGGCGTGAGCCACCACACCCAGCCCCCCAAAAATTCATATTCTTAAGTGATAACAGCCTTTATTAATAATATTCCTGTCTACAAACAATTCTCCTGCCTCAGCCTTCCAAAGTGCTGAGATTACAGGTATGAGTCACCAGGCCATGAATCCTTTCAACTTTATGTGATTAGGTTCTTTTTATGTTTATTAATGTTAATGATACTATTAATATGTAATTTTTATGGGTAACTGTTATCAGGGAAATAAGCTGAAAAATTACTATTATTTCTTTCTTTTTTTTCTTTTCTTTGAGATAGTTTCCCTCTTGTTGCCTAGCCTGGAGTGCAATGCGAGATCTTGGCTCACTGTAACCTCTGCCTCGTGGGTTCATGTGATTCTCCTGCCTCATCCTCCCCAGTAACTGAGATTATAGGCATGGGCCACTACGCCCAGCTAATTTTGTATTTTTAGTAGAGATGGGGTTTCTCCCTGTTGGTCAGTCTGGATTTGAACTGCTGACCTCAGGTGATCCACTGGCTTCCTCTTCCCAAAGTGCTGGGATTACAGGCGTGAGCCACCGCACCCGGCCATACCATTATTTCTTTCAACAGAATTCTAAACTTCCAGCTGATACTAAGAAATGTCATATTCAGAACATTTACAAAGCTGTTTAGCAAAGGAAACTAAACTCAATGGTTAGCTTTCCTCAGTTATTGTTTTCTTCCCTTGTCTCCATTTTAACCCTTACTTCAGACTCTTTCATCTATTTCAAAGTATTCATGTAGATTGTCTTAGTCCTTTGGGGCTGCTATTATACAACAAAGCACAAAGACTGTATCTTATAAACAGCAGTAATTTATTTCTCATAGTTCTGGAGGCTGGATGAAGACAGATCAGGACACTAGCATGATTCTGGCAAGGGCTGTTTACCAGGTAGCAGACTGCCAACTTGTTGTATGCTCATGTGACAGAAAGAGAGCTAGAAAAAATTCTGCGGGGTCCCTTTATGAGGCACTGAATCCCATGCATGACCTACGTACCTCTCAGAGTCCCTACTTCCTTACACGAGCCATATTGAGGGTTAGTATTTCAACATGAATTTGGGGTCGCAAGAGGTACAAACATTCAGATAATAACATGTATTTTTAAGATTGAGAAGTAACACTTTGACAAACATTTTGACAGGTCTTTGTTTCTAACTAAGCTCTTGGTGTTTTTTTTTTTTTTTTTTTAGTTATTACTCCATTCAAGTTGACAACTGAGGCAATGCAGACTCCAGTCTCGAATAAGAAACCAGTGTTTGATCTTAAAGCAAGTTTGTCTCGTCCCCTCAACTATGAACCACACAAAGGTATTTAGGAGTATTTTGAGCTACAGGGCCTGTGAAATAGCTAAGATTGGTGGGGCACGGGGGCTCACACCTACTAAAAATACAAAAATAAGCCAGGCATGGTGGCACATGCCTGTAATCCCAGTTACTTGGGAAGCTGAGACAGGAGAATCGCTTGAACCCAGGAGGCAGAGGTTGTAGTGATCTGAGACCACGCCACTGTACTCCAGCCTGGGGCAACAAGAGTGAAACTCTGTCTCAAAAAGAAAAAATAAAAAAACCCCTCAAGATTAAACAAATTTATGCTGGGTACAGTGGCTCACGCCTGTAATCCCAGCACTTTGGTACACGCAGATCACTTTAGGTCAGGAGTTCAAGATCAGTCTGGCCAACATGGTGAAACCCTGTCTCTACTGGGGAAAAAAAATATATAAAAATTTGCCTGGAGTGGTGGTGGGGACCTGTAATCTCAGCCACTTGGGAGGCTGAGGCAAGGGAACCAGGGGAGTGGAGGTTGCAGTGAGCCAAGTTTGCACTACTGTACTCCAGCCTGGGCGACAGAGTGAGACCATGCCTCAAAAATAATAATAATAATAATTCTGCCTCTAAAGTTGTAAAACAACAACAACAAAAAGTCTAGTAACCCAATGGAAGCCATACTTGGCTACCTAGAATCCTTTCCCCTGCCTCTGCTTCCACATAGACCCATGATTTAAAAGACCTCCTGTTAAACAAATAACAAATACTTGATTCAGCAGGGTGGAGTAGCTCATGTCTATAATCCCAGCACTTAGGGAGGCAGAGGCAGGAGGATGGCTTGAGCCCAGGAGTTCAAGACTAGCCTGAACAACTTAGCAAGACCTTGTCTATAGGAAAAAATTTAATTAGGGTATGGTGGCATGTTCCTATGGTCCCAGCTACTCAGGAGGCTGAGGTATGAGTATTGCTTGCTTGAGCCAGGGAGATTGAGGCTGCAGTGAGCCATGACTGTACCACTGCATTCCAGCCTGGGCAACAGAGTGAAACCCTATTTCAGTATGTATGCCTGTACTCCCAACTACATGGGAGGCTCAACTGGGAGGATCACTTGTGGCCAGTTGAAGGCTGCAGCATATGCTATGACCATACCTATGGATAGCCACTGCACTCTAGCCTAGGCAAAATAGTGAGACTTCATTGTTTAAAAAAAAATTAGCCGGGCGCGGTGGCTCAAGCCTGTAATCCCAGCACTTTGGGAGGCCGAGGCGGGTGGATCACGAGGTCAAGAGATCGAGACCATCCTGGTCAAC